TCAATCTACAGATTATTTGCTAATTACAATGATAAAATGTCATATTTTCCATGTGGAAATTTAATGGACACTAACTTGGGCAAGTAATCAAGCCTAACTTTATCAGTAATAGGACAAATGGACGTTTTTTTTTTTTGCTTTCTGATGTGATGCTAGAATGATGATACATCAGCTATCTAGTATATAAAATTTTTGTTTTATCCCAAATCTAATGAGTACCTAAGCACATATATTCAAGTTGAGGAATATTTAGTAAAACAACCACCCTGGTTTCTTAAAAAATATATTGCTATCCTGAATGACCTGTGCCCCCTGACCAAAAAAAAAACCCCAACCAAAAACAAGTCAGCACTCCCTCCCCCAAAAAACCCACAAAAAACAAGGAGGCAAATGAACTACTTTACATTAAAGGAACGTAAAGGAATATGACAAATGCAATCCTTGATACCCGTTGCCCTGCGATTCTAATGTGCAGCTTTCATCTGGGGACCTCCTTCCAGTCTGTCTCTGATCTTTTTTTCCCTGGGTCTTTTATTTTCTCTTCTGAGATTCCATTACCAGTTATCAGGGCCTGTTCTATCCATCTAGAGGACTGTCCTACTCCCTGTAATATCTTCCATTTTCTTTTTACTTTGAACCTTTCTTTTAGGAAATAAAAGTACAATTAGTTATAGGTGTTTCCCAACTGTTTTTAAAAGAAGCAAACCTCCCTTCCCCCCATCACACCTTCTTTTTGATCCATGAGAGGTTTCTGATTAACACCACCAAGTTAGGAATAGGACATTTCCTGAGAAATATTTCACTTTTCCCTTCTTTTTACTTTTCTTTCTCTATTAGTTATTTTATTCTATGAAATTTTAATTCAAGAAACCTTAGGTAGAAAACTACATACTTTTTTTTTATATGACTTATTACTGTTGTGTCGTTAAGATGTCATTTTGTTAGCTTTTAAATTACCAGGTTATGCTGCCACGTGTGTGGTAGATTTTGCTTGAAGAGTGAGGTTATTTATTGTGTCTTGTGTACGTAAACATGGTGCTATATCAGTTGGTCAAAAAAGATAGTTCTTTATGACTTAGAATGTGTAGCTAAATGGGAAAGCTCCTAGAGTCTTCTTTCATTCCTTTATCTTCCACATCCAAACTATCGCCGACTCTAACTCTTAAACAAACTTCAAGTCTTTGTCTTTCTCTCTCTCTATTGCTACTTGCCAAGTCTGAGCCACAGCTATCTGTCTGTCACCTAGACCACTGCAAAGGCTTTCTAATCAGTCTCCCTCTTTCCACCTTTGCTCTTTTACAATTCATTCTTTGCATAACAGCCAAAGTGATCTTAAAAAAGATACTATATTAAGTCATTTGCCTCTCCTGTATAACACTTTCCAGCCTGTTCCTTCTGTCAGGAATATAACTCCCTCATGATGATTTACAGAGGGCTGGCTCTTTCTTGTCATTTAGATTTCAACTTAAATATTGATTTTTTTCAGAGAAGACTTTTCAAAGAAAAGTAACCCTAATCTCTTTCAGTTACATTCCTCTGTTTTTACTGCAGCACTTATCATTATCTTACTTTATATATATATATAAAATATGTGCATGTCTATTTAGGTGCATGTATATTTGTATATTTTTTCTACAACATAGTAGGCTCCATGAGAGGAGAGAACTTTATGAATTGTTTGTTTTTGTATCCCCCAGAGCCAGGTCAGTGTTTGGCACATAGCATATATTCAGTAAACATTTTCGAGCTGATGAATGAAAATTTGGTGGTAGAGTCACAAAGGTAGAGTAGTTCATTTTTTGCTTTGTGGTGGAAAGTAAGACACGCTGATTGTTGGGAGGCAAGGAAACCAGAGAGGATGTCTTGTCCTGCAGCTAAACCTGCCTTTTAAAGTTGAGGGCGGAAAAGTAGGAAGAAATCTTTTAGTGCTTTGGTAACCTAAGTTTCTGTATTTCCTTAAGCATTTTTTCCTATTTTGTAGATTTCTTTTTGGAAGCATCAGTTTCTGTAATTGTGCAGAAGGGAGCTGAGGAATGGAGAACTCCTCCATGTTGGGGTTGGAGTGTTGGTGGTCGGGTTGCATGTCCCCCTGGGTCTGGGGTGAGGTAAGGTGGTAACTGTAGGCATCCAGTGAGATCAGAAAGGTGAGGAAAAACGTGGGAAGAGCACTAGGACCTGAATGTGTTTTTTATTAAAGAAATAATCTCTTAATACCAGGGAAAAAGCTGCCTTTTAAAAGCCTTGTAGAATTTGTTTTATTATGATAATGTTGTTCTGTGTCAAACATATGTCAACTGAAGAACATAAAACTAAATAAGTGCATTATAAACAAAAGCCAAACACAGGAGTAAGTGCTCCAGGAGAGAGTAAAATGTGAAAGAACATTAGTGGAAATTTCATGTCCAGATTAGGTGAGAGGAGCAGTAACCATCAACTTGTCAATCATTTCTGGTTTTCCTAGGAATGCCAATTTTTGACTGAATCTTTTGTCCTTCTTTCATTTCCTGGCACCCTATGACTTACCTTAACTAGAGTGGCAGAGACACAAGAAGAAAGTAGGGATGAGGGGGACTGGGCTGTTTGATATTATGTAACATCGTCTACGTGGAATATTCTTTTCCTTACTCTTCAGATGTCTAGATTGTGTTTTTCCATTGTACAGAGAGTAAAACCTTATCTTTATATTAGTTCATAATATAGCTCAAAGATTAAAGTATGAGTCAGTGTCACTAACTTCTGCCAGTTTCTCCCTCCTTCCCTCTCAGCCTTTTTCTATTTAGCTTGTTAGCGTTTTATCAGGGAATCTTGCCTTTCTGGTTTACATGTATTCACAGGTCTAATGCTGCATTGCCTTTTTTTGGGAGACCATCTTGCCTTATTATATATTGCCTTATTTTCTAATGACTTCTCGCATTTTCTGAACATATAGTAATTTCTTGTTGACAAATTATTTTGTGTGTTTTGTTTCCCCAGCTAGTTCCTTGTGAGCAAGGACAATTTTCCTGTGTTATTTTGAAACTCATGAATCAGTGAATAGTCTGGGGTCTGTAGTAAATGACTAAAATAAAATTAGTACTAGAATCAGAAAAACTGCAAATTTCCTAATCCTTAGAAGGAACTGAATATGGTAGAGGTATGGGTTTGGATATCACACCTCTTGTGGTTTCCTGTTTCGTGGATAAATAGTTTTTGATAGTGAATTGATAACATGTTATTCAGGGGGTTATGGATGCATTTGTGTTAAAAAGACCTTAAGTTGTTATAAATGGGATTTCTGCAGGCATGCCAGTTTTGAATTTTTGGGTAGTGTTTCTTCACTCCTCAAAAACAGGCTAATTCTTCTTTACTGATTTCAGTCTAATTCCTTTATGTGACATTCATTGTGGACTGCCGCATTGAAGAAGGCAATTGCCATTCTTACCACTCTCATGCAGGATCAAAAATCATGCATCATCTCACAAGGATCAAGAATCAAAGCATGCAAAACCTTCTGTACTTTGCCCCCAGTCTGTGTTTTTGGTTCTCTTTTTCTCCACCATCCTACAGACATTTCATACTTCAACTGAATTGTTTTAGTCATTTCTTAAACTTGTCCCATGCTTCCTACCTCTGTTTTGTTTCCACTATTCCTGCCTGAAATGTTCAAATCCTGCTTATCCTCCATAGCTTCATTAAAATGACCCTTTCTATAATATACTTTGCTTATTACCTTTTCTATCTGTCTTCCTATGATCCTTTTCTTTTTTTGAATCCCCAGTGATAGAATTGTTTGGATCCTTTTCCTCTCTTTTCTTGGATTATAAGGCTCCCAATGTAAGAACAGTATGTTCTTCTCACTGTACTTAGCATTGTTTTTAAAATGCTATCCCCACATAAACAAAGCATACATAAAATTTTAAAAATTGAGATAATTATGAAATATTTAGGAAGTGAGTGTTGTTTTAACTAAGTTGAAGTTAAGAGTGATGTTTTGCGGTTTAGGGGTCAAAAGGTCTGTGACATTTGGCCTTCTCCACCCTGTTTTTCTAAGGATACTATAGCTACAGTTTAGTGCTAGTTGAGCATCATAGTCTTGGAAGGGTCTGCTAAGGGCTCACTGACCTTCAGAAAACATCATAAAGAAATGGTCTCAGGCTTATGAGTATCTCCACCTTGTTTTCAGAAAACCTCTAAGGAAGGAGATTTTATACCTTTTCTTGATAGATTGTTATATATGACTCTTGGAGTCAAAATTTTGCTTTACAATAACTAATTTGAATAGTCAATCTTGTAACTAATGACAATTTTATGGTTTCATTTTTCTCTTATAAACTTCAGCTGGAAATGCCCTTTATTTTAGACCTTACTTTGTATTTTCATAATACCCTGTTGAATATATGGAATAGTGCAACAGCTTCTCCATTGTCAGTGAGCCCTGGATCTTCTGCTGCAGCCCAAAATATAGAAACCATGTTTGATTTTTCCCACTGCCATTATGCCAGTCTTGCTGATAAAAGTTGTAAGGGTTCCCTGTGATTTTTCAGATAAAAATATCTCAAGTACCTGAAAATCACTATTTTTGAAAAAAGGGATTTTAATTTGTTATGTCTGCAAACAGCAGTTTTGGGGAATCATACACATGCGTGCCTGTGTTTATGTGTGTGTGTTTTGTGGTGCTGTATAAGTTGCTTTATATATCTTTGGTTAATTAATACTATACTTACGTTTTTGGAATTCACTGTCAACTTATTTATGTTTTCTTAGCTTTTATTTCATTACTGGGGAAAATGTTATGTTTATTGATACCACTAGCAATTTTTTCTTTTAAAATGGTCACACTCTCATTTTTAAAATATATAATAAGATCATTACACTGGTGTTATTTTCCTGACTCTAAAGAAAGGAACTTTTAAATAAATTAGTTATTGTCTTCTGCGTTATTGAACATGTGGTCAGTTGTCATGTTCATACATCCAAATGATCAAAGTCTGAACTTCTGTCTAATTCTTCCCTGCTGTTAGGCTACCCTGTCATGATCAAGGCCTCAGCAGGTGGTGGTGGGAAAGGCATGCGCATCGCTTGGGATAATGAAGAGACCAGGTGAGAGGCTGTCCAAAATATACTTTTGATGAAAATTGCAGTTACCAGAGTTTTATTAAACTGACAGGTAAACAGATACTAGAAGCATAATGGAATAATTATAATAACCATCTAATTTTTACTCTCTTGTATGGGAAAAAAATTGAAAGTTATGCAGAAAACTTCTTTATTTATATTTTGAAGATGATTATCTTATTATGGAAAAGTTTTTACTGTCTTAAGCATTAACAAAGGATTTTCTTTTTATTCTTACAGTGTATTTTTAAAAATTGTAGTTGTGATTCTATTTTCTAGGCAGAAATTACTAACATTTAGCTGTATAATTCTGAATGTAGTCTAAATATTTGAACCAACTATATTTAAGAGCAGTCATAATTTTATTGAGAGTTTATGTATTATCTCAGTATGTACTTGCTAGTCCATAAAAGTAGTGAATTACTTTAATAATTTTATAGCGTGAAATATTCTTTTTCCGTCTGTTTGAAATTACTGTATGTCTTTTATATACACTGTACTCTTGTAAATTTAGAATACTTATTACTAGTTTCAGAAATAAAAAGTAACTTTTACAACAAAATTCTAAAAAATCCAATGCATTGATGACATTGTAGTGATTAGAAAAGAATTGTTCAAAGAACTGCCTAGTACGAGCAGGCGTTAAGGGACTCTATTCAGATTTATATTCTTTCTTTTCAGGTTTGGCAGTAGGAGAGATTTATATCACTTTTTGGAGGTGGGAGGGGAGATGAAAAATCACTGAATTATTTTATTGTTACTGTTGCATCTCCTGCCCTTATTCCACCCAGAAGTAATCTGGTCTTCCATGTGGTTAATTCTTCTTCCTTTTCTCTTCTCTTCTTTCCCTTCACTTCACCTTGATTCATTTCTCTTTTTCCTCCCCTGCCCCTTTGCTTCCCTCCCCTTTCCTTTTGTCCTTCTCTAGTCCCTTCCCTCTTAAATCTCTTAGGGACAGAAACCTGGATTAGTTAGTGTGAAAGCCATCCAGTACAGTGGAATCCAAACCTTACTCAGAAATCGGGTTGTAAAGTGAGCAGGCAAGGTGAAATTCTTCTAGAGGCAGTGTGGTCTCCTTTAAAACCTTACAGGGAGACACCACGTTGGAGGCTTGCACAGATAGTTTTAACTGTACAATAATACTGGCTCAGAACACTGTTGTTTGGTCAAGCATCAGGGAGAGCACTAGGCTTGTGGTGTGATGGTCTTTAGACACCAGCCTCACCCTCAGAGTGGCACTGTTACCAGATACTATTGACGGTGGTAATAGCAGATTCTCTTCTCCCATTTTATGCTTACCCAGTAAGAATAAACTCATTGCATGGATTGGCAATATTTATTGAGAGCCTAGTTTGTGATAGGCATTGTTCTAGTTAGGTTTCAGGGATATTGCAATGAATAAAAACAGACAAAATTATCCATTCAACCATGCATTTTATATGCTAGATCAGGAATTCTTAACTTTTTAAATTCGTGAGCCCATAAAATTGAGGGGAGGCTCATGAATGTGGACAAAGAAAAACATATATTTCTTTTACTGGCCTCTACCTGGAATTCATTGTTTTCTCCAAGGTAGCAAGAAACTTAGTAGTAGTATCTGTGGAACTTTTCACCATTTGAAAATCACATATATTTTCTTATGCTACAGTTGTTGCAGATATCTTTAAGTTACAGTGATTATTAGACCCATTATTAGAGCTTATTATTTAATAAAGAACCAAGTGTGTTATGTCTAAAATTTGTTTTTTAAAAATATTTCGATACCTGTATTTCAACATAATTTGTTTTCTGTGCAATCCTATGCATTTTTAAACACTCTAAGCCTTATTTTGACAAGAGGTTCATAGGCTGCATCATTCTGCTGAAGGGATCCATGGCATAGATACAGTTGGGAGACTCAGTTCTGTTAGGAAGAGACATTGAACAAAATCTAAGTAAATGCCATTGTGGAAGGTGCAATGTAGTGTGAGCAAAGTAGAGGGAGGAGACCTGAGGAGTGTTGGAGGGAATTCCCATTCAAAACAGGATTGCCAGGGTTGTTTTCACTGAGGAGGGCAGCTCTGGAGCGAGGAGGAAAGAGTACAGGGGGTGAGGATCCAGGCAAGGGGACAGCAAGCACAGGGGCGCCCTGATCCAGGATCATCCAGAGTGGTCCAGCAACAGCAAGGTATCCCGGTGATGGAGGGAGGGAAGAGTAGAAGGAGATGGGTCAGAGGGGATTTAGGTGAGATGGGGTGGGTTATATAGGCTCTCGTAGGCCATTCTTAGTGAGATGGGGAGCTACCGGAAGGTTGTGAGTAGAGAAGTCAATCATGGAACTTCAGCAGATTTCAAACATTATTTATCCTGTTTTAATTATAAAAACTTCCCAACATACAAAAAGTAGAGAGAAGACCGTAGTTAACTTCTGTATGTGTAGTATCCAGATTAACCAGATATCAAGATTTTATGACTTAGGTTTGAAAAGGGTCACTCTGGTTGCCATGTTGGTAGTAGACTGAAGGGGGGCAGAGTCATGGTCTCTGGAGTCAGGGAAACTAGTTGGGAGGCTGTTGGGAACAAGGAAAATGGTGATGGTGGCTTTCACCAATATGACAGGGTAGAGGCAACAGGACTTGCTTAATTCCGAAAGTAGAGGCAACAGGACTTGCTGAGTGATGGGATATAGAGTGTGAGAGTACTCGAGGATGATATGCAGACTCTAGGTTATGCTGTTTTGTGCTCTTATTCTCTTGGTCTTAGTGTTAAATTTGTGTGAATTAATTGCACATACTACAGCTCTGCTTTACTTAAAAATTTCTTGGGAAATGCTGAGAGGTTAAAGTTTGAGTGCTTTTTTCTTCAGAATTGAAAAGTAATTAATTGGTCAGGTTCTTAACCTCTCTCTGGAACTCTTTCTGGCTTGGTACCTTCTGATGGAGGAGCATTGATTAACTATGTGAAGTGTTTGAAGTTAGGCCGGCTTGTCCTGTGTGTGGGTGGAAGCAAGCATAAGCAAGCATAAGGGGAAGAGGCATGCTTATTCCCATTTTGACCTCATAATCCATCCTGTTTGACTTTCGTCTGTCCAAATTCAGGTGGGAGGCTATCACTTGTGCTCACTTTGTATCCCCTATGAGCCCATGGACCTGATAGGGTGGCTTGGACTTCATAGTATAATGGCTTTGGACTTCTTACATGGTGGCTCAGGGTTCCAAGGCCAATTGTTTTAGATATAATGGAAGCTGTATCACTTTTTATGACCCAGTCTCAGTAGTCACACAGGTGTCCCTCCACCATCTTTTGTTGATTACCACTGAGCACAAGTTTCTGCTCAAATTCAGAGAGGGCAATGAGACTCCACTTCTTCATGAGGATGTGGCAAGATTCTTGGAAGAACACATGGAATGGGAAATATCGTTGTGGCCATCTTTGGAAAAGACAATCTGCTATAGCCTCTTCTTATGAAAGAATGGTGTCATAAAGATATTGAACACCACTTAATGGTTTTGTAAGAGCTGTATATTTTATGAACTTTAATATTTTTCTTATTGTTTTTTTCTTTTGTGTGGTACTTACATAGCAATTTCACTGAAAACCTAATACTTATTTTTCATTACTTTTCTTAGGAAAAGTAAATCAGATTTCTTACCAGTCATTTCTCCAGGGCCACTGATAGTAATATGTTCTTTTACGGTGAGGATGACTCTTTACAGTTTCTTGGCAGCAAGATTTGCTGTGCTGCTGTTGATCTATGGATTTTACTTTAGAGCTTAGTATTTTCAGAATATTTACCATATTTATTCATATATTGAGCACCCTTTGGTAAGTAATTTAACCCTTTCTTGGCAGATAAATGGCACATTGATTCAAAATATGCTCATATAGTTAATAAATTATACATAATAAAATACAAACAAATAATTTTCTGCCTAAAATATTACTCTCTTCAAGTCGATAAATAAGCCATCTCTGAAACCTTGTTGAGATTAACAGAGGTGTGACACTATTTGATTTAATGATACTATACATGCTCCTCCTTTAAAAAGTTGCTGTATATCCCTTGTTCCTTTGGAAAAATCTAAACTGCAGAAAAATTGAGACAACAGTCCAGTGAACACCCAGGTGTTTGTTTTCTAGAGTCATCAATGATTAATATCATGCCACAACTCATTCACTTCTTCCTTCCTTTCCTCTCTCCCTCCTTGAGGAAGAATTTTTTTTTTTACATAATCCACGAAAAATTTAGCATTTTTTGAATGCAAAGGATAATTCAGTAGCCATCGATTGCTTTATTCTTTTATCTAGGGGATCTCTCCCTCTTGGAACATCTTTTCTAAGCATTTTGGGGGAAGTAGCATCTGTTACTTGTCTTAGAATCTTTAGAATATCTGAAAGATTTTAAAAAGAGTAATGTTTGTTATTGCTATATAATAAATTGGGGTGAGAATCATGAAGGTTGTTGAAAGTAGACTTAGATATTTTGATAATAATCTCTGGCTTTCTTTTCCCTATCCAGTTTTTTTTTTTTTAATTATAAATTGTGGCATGAAACGAAAATTGATCATCTCTACATTTTTGAATACCCCCACTAAGACTTTAGACACTATGAGGGTAATTTCTGTTTTATTTTTGTATTCCCAGCACCTGAGCTATGTTGGGTGATCAGTAAATATTGAATTGAATGAGCGCACAACTGAATGTAACAAATGATGGTTTTAATAACAGTTTTCCATAAGTTCCAAAATATGTTGGTGGTGCTTTCAAACTTAATACTTATTCTGTTTTGGTGACTGAACTTTTACTTTTGGTGTTCTTGGTTTAAATGCAAACTGAAAGCTGTCAATCATTACAGCAGAGACAAACTGTAAAGTGCTATGCTTTTTCTTTGTGTATTATTACATCCCATGTAATAAAAAGTTGGTTAGGGCCGACCCTGTGGCTCACTCCTGTGGCTCACTCGGGAGAGTGCGGCGCTGGGAGCACAGCGGCACTGGGAGCGCCGAGGCCGCGGGTTCAGATCCTATATAGGGAAGGCCAGTGCGCTCACTGGCTGAGCGCGGTGTGGACGACGCCACGCCAAGGGTTGCGATCCCCTTACAGGTCACACACACACACACACAAAAAGTTGGTTATGTAATATTAAAAACAATGGTTTATTGTGCTTCTGTTTTTTTTTTGAAATTTGCGTTCTCCTGAGATCTAAACTCCATTCCCCTAAATCAAAGATATAAAGGAAGACTAAGAAAACCTAGTACCTTTTTTCTCAGAACTCTGAGAAACAGGAGATTTTTGCAATATTTTGAAATTTGTCTTCTAGTTAGCGTTTACCTGCAATGTTATATGTTTTAAGCACAAAAGCAAACATATCAGATATTTGTTTCAAATATTGCCAGATGGACTGTTTGCAGATGAAAGGATTAGAAGAATTTGGTTTTAATGTTGAATGTTAAATACAAGTATTTAATATGAAGATTAAGAAACAATTTATTAGATGTAAAAGAAATTAAGTTTTGTGTTCTGAACATATCCATGAATGGAAAATAGTTTACTCAATTAGTTTTAAGTAAGCAAGTTTGAGTTTTTAATGTATAGCAAATGAGTCCATTTTATTATGAATTTAGTAAGCATGTTTTAATAATAATGATTTAAATTATTATAGTTTGGGAGTAAAATATATAAAGCAATAATTAAATTCATATTTTTATTTCCAAAAATTATACTTTTGCCTTCTTATTATTAATTTTGGACACTTTTAAAGAGGAAAAAATTGTAATGACCTATGTGGGTGTGTGGGAGACCAGTGCATTTCAAGGTGTGTATTTAAAACATCAGGAAATGCTCTCGAGAATCCTTCTAGTATGTTCAGTCTCGATGTGTATATTTGCTGTAGTTCTGCTCTAGTTGTGCATTTGGCTAGGCCTTATACATTTTTGTTTGCATCTTCTGACTTATGAATCAAGTGGATATGCATTTTTATATTTTTATTAGTGGAGTTAAGGTATATTAGGGTTGAAGAAGTAGAATAAATTTTATATGCTCTGTATGGTTGATTAAAATCTCATATTTAACAGTTGGTGAAATAAGCATCAGTATTCCTGTTCTGATAGAAAATGTAGGATCACGTAAGTTAAATGATTCACCCAAGGTCATGGAGCTAGTAAGTGGAAGAGTTGCAATTCAATGAAAGTTAATTTAGTTATTTGTACATTGAGTGATTTTTTTTTCTGCTTTATTCAGAAGTAAGCCAAAACAAATATTTAATTGATTTTGTTTTCTTTATAATGAGGACCATATTTGTTCTTTTAGTCTTACTGTTTTCCTTTTTTACTTACAGGGATGGTTTTAGATTTTCATCTCAAGAAGCTGCTTCTAGTTTTGGTGATGATAGACTACTAATAGAAAAATTTATTGATAACCCTCGTCATATAGAAATCCAGGTTTGTACATCTTAAATGACTTTAAAACAGTATCAGTTGATCCTATTGGAAACACAGCCTTTCTTCTACTTAGAGGAATTTGAATTGTTTTGGTATGTTTAAATACATACAAAATAAATTAATCACCTGCTTCAGGAATCTGGTATACTTATGGTCAAAGTGCTAAGGTATTGGTTGGGATGGGAATGATACAAGAACCTACCTCTGAAAAGAAGCTGTCCCCAGATGTCAGATGAGGCTTAATATGTGCCACTTGCAGAATCATCCAGTCCCCCCCCTTTTTTTTATTATTATTTTTATTTTGTCAATATACAATGTAGTTGATAATTGTATCCCATCACCGAAACCTCCCTCCCTCCTTCCTCTCCCCCCTCCCACCCAGGTGTGTCCCCTCCATTTTCTTCTTGTAAAAACTTCAAAAAAAATTGTGGTTGTTATATCTTCCCCCCCCCCCCCCCCCCCAGGTGTGTCCCCTCCATTTTCTTCTTGTAAGAACTTCAAA